AGCAAACGTGAATCAAATGAGTAGCCAGAGGGGCTAAATTACTATTACACCAAGTGAACTTCAGAATGAGGATCATCACAAGGGAAGAGACAGAGTGACGTAATAAAATAGAGGTCTCGTCATCGAGAAGATGAAAAAATCATGAACGTGCATGCGTTTTTAAAGCACAAGAGGTAAAAACTGAGAAAACCAAGAACAAAGACAAACTGGTTATAATGAGAGCCTTCAGCATTCTCCTGCCCACAACTGAAAGTACAAGTGGACAATACAATCAGACACTCTATGGAACACCTGAGCATGACTCCCCACAGACATGACCTAACTGATACTTACAGAAAGACAGTGGAACAGACATTCTTCTGAAGTCACAGGCAGTGCTCACCAAGACAGGCCATACGCTGTGCCATAAAGTAAATCTCGGCGTCTAAAGGTCTGAAACACACACCAGGTTCTCGGACCACAAAGAATTAAAACAGAAATGGGTTGCAGCAAGCTATCCAGAAAACCACAAAATGTTTTGAAATTAAATGACATTTCTAAATCACGTGGGGATCAAGGAAGAAACTGCAAGAAGTTGAAAAGGAAACCACGGTGAATCAAAATTTGTGAGGCGAATCTAAAACAATGCACTGAGGGAAATTTCTATCATTAAATACTTATACTAGAAAAGAAGAATCGTCTCCGATCAATGATCTAAGCTGTCACCTTAAGAAATTACAAAAGCGGGGCGCTCTGCCAACGTAAGCTTTTGTCCGCCGGGACTCTTCGGTGGTGGGAGGATCGGGAGGTGAGAGGGTGATACATTTTGGGGTGCTGTGGGGGTGGGACGGTTATGCATATCAGCCTTATCCAGACCAGTCCACGTCAGTTTTTTCTCGATGAAAAAGTATTTTGTGTTAATTATCAGGTATCGATTATCAAGAGTGATTTTGGGCGAATAAGAGACGTCGCAGTCAGAAAACTGGGGAGTTGAGGTCACGGTGCCTTCTTGGGCCTCAGTGTTCTCCTCTGTAAAATGAGGGTGACTGTAAAACTGCTTTGTAAAATGTAAAGCGTTACATGAAAAAAAAAAAAGAAATTACTAAAGCAAAATCAATTTAAACCTAAGGCAAGGAGAAAAAGAATTAACGGAGGTCTGAAAAGAAATCAACTTAGTAGAAATCATAGAATCGCTACAAAGGAATCAATGAAACTAAGAACTGGTTCCTTCACAAGATCAGTAAATCTAATAGGTTTAGCCAGACTGGTAAAAAATGAATGGATGGCTCAGCAGGTTATGTGTCTGCCTTCGGCTCAGGTCATGATCCCGGGGTCTGGAAGGAGCCCTGGGTCGGGCTCCCAGCTCAGCGGGGCGTCTGCTTCTCCCTCTCCCCCCTGCGTGTGGCTCGCGCTCGCTCTCTCGTGCACTGGCTCGTGCTCTGTCTCAAAGGAATAAAATCATATAAAGAAAAAAATCCGTTAACCCAGATGGCCCTACATCTGTCAAAGAGAACGAATTCAATAAATCAAACACAAACTAAAAACCGTTCCCTCACAAAAAAATTAAGGCTTAAGCGGCTTCGTTGTTTACATTCTAGCTTCCAGGTAACTGAAGAAGAGGTTAAACTTCCTAAAGCATGTTACAGAGCCAGCCACATCCTGACATCAAAGCAAGACACCATCTCTCTCTTTTTTTTTTAAAGATTTTATTTATTTATTTGACAGACAGAAATCACAAGTAGACAGAGAGGCAGACAGAGAGAGAGAGAGGAGGAAGCAGGCTTCCTGCCAAGCAGAGAGCCTGATGCGGGGCTCGATCCCAGGACCCTGAGATCATGACCTGAGCTGAAGGCAGAGGCTTTAACCCACTGAGCCACCCAGGTGCCCCAAGACACCATCTCTTAAGAATACAAATTACAGAGTGTGAAAAAAAAAATAAAGGGAAATATCAGTATAAAGTAGAGTCCAGAGCCTAGAAGGGAGAGCCATATTGCTCAACATCCATTACAGGAAGGGCTGTCCACTATGGAGCCAAGAGAAGAATAATCAACATGAAAGAACCTCAATTATAGGCCCCAACAGGAAAAGATGTACATGGCATCACCTACGAGATATGGACTACTCTTGCAACTCAGCCAGCCAGCAACTGTAATCACTCTGAACTCTTGCTGTATCTCCAATGGACTTTTGTTCCAAACAACCCCTCCCGACTTCCTCCTTCTTCACGAAATAACGTTCCTCTCCTTTGTTTGCTGGACTTGCCTAGGATTTTGCCTCAGGTTGCTTGCTCCAATTTTCCAATTCTCTGCTATTCCTGAATAAACCCATTTTTGCTGGTAACATAACTGGCTGTTTTACTTTTCAGGCTAACAAGAGCAATGTAACTCGTGAACACAGATGCAGTAATCCCAAATAAAATATGAGCTGTTTGAAACCAGCAATACATACAAAAGATAAAATACCATGGTGAAATGGCATTTGCTCTACGGCTTCAAGATGGGTTGAATGCTTGATAATCAATCCCTCTAACTGACCATAAAAACAGACTAAAAATACATGAGCGTCTCAACAGATGCATAAAAAGCACTTGATCAAATGTACTTGATAAAAACGCCTAGCAAATCAGCTAGCTATAGAGAGGGATTTCCACCTTAGTCTCTTAGGGCGGATGTAACAAAACTACCACAGACTGGATGACTTACAAAAGCAAGAGAAATGTATTTCTTAGATGTACGGATGCCGGGAAGCCCAAGATCAAGGTGCCAGCAGATTCAGGATCAGGTGAGGCCCTGCTTCCTGCCACAGAGACTGCTGACTTCTTGTCCTCACATGGCAGGAGGGCTGAGGGAGCGCTCAGGGGTCCCTTTTATAAGGGTGCAAATACCACACCTGTGGGCTCCACACTCGTGACCTGATCGCCTCCCAAAGGCCCCACCTCCAATTACCATCATACTGGAGAAAGGCTTCACCATGAATGTTGGGGAGATGGCAATATTCATTCAGTCTATGGCAACATCCTTAAACGGATAATTGGCAGCTACAGAAAGAGCTAAAGCTAATATAACCACGAATCCTGAAGGTGTGAATGCTTCCCTTCTAAGACAGGGAACACGGCAAGTGTGTGTACTTTTGCCACTTCTAGTCAATAGTTTACTGCCTGTTCTAGCCGATAAAAAAGTCCAGAGGAAAGAAAGATGCAACAGTCATTACTCACAGGCAAACCTGAATCCCTAAAAAGAATCCACAGAAAAGGTACTTGAAATAAGAGGCCAGTTCAGCAAAGTAACAAAATACAACATCAGTACAGTATCAGTACAATAGAGTCCATTGTTTCTATATACCAGCCATAAACAATCAAAAACAGACACTGTAAAAAGCAACACTACAAAGTACCACACTAAGAAACAGGAAGGAGAAGCATGCCACCGTGCCACCATCGTCCCCACTTCCCAACTACAGAGTTGTGGCTCAGAGGTTTGGAAGCAGATAGCTCCTCCCGGAGGAATGAATTTTTCATTTTCAAATCAGTGTTCTCAAGGTTAGGCCCAGGGGCACTTTCAAAACAGTGGAGCCCGTGGAAGAGGCAACCCATAGCATATTGGTGGAATTCTTGAACGTAGAGGATCGACTGTAGGCTGGCTGGATTACCTGAGACAATCAGGGAGAAGAGACAGCTGGAAGGAGGCTGCCTGGGGTCAGAAGAAAAAAATCTCTAACACTAACGTGGACAGCTAGCCCTTCAAAGGAGCAGGGATTTCACAGGTTTCTATTATGAAGCAACACAGCCAGGTACTGCTGAAAACAGCAGAAGCGGCCCCCAGTTAGTAGACCTGAACAGCTGGGTTTGGTCAGAGAAAGAGACAATCCAAGAGAGCCCTGCCCAAACCAGCCACCGCAGGGTGACAGTGGGCATCCCCGAGTCGTCTCTCCCTGAGGAGTAAAATCTGAAGCATAACACAGCTAGGGTGGGGGGCGAGGCTAGGGGGAGAGTAAGGAGTGAAAACAGACTCTAAATGAACCAGCCAGACACTAAAACAGCTAAACAAGCAAATAGCAGTAAGAAACCCGGGAAGGGGTGGGATGGTCCAGTACCCAGAACTGCTACAGTATTTTAGACAGTGTAGCAACCGGACTAGTTTAGATTGTCAGGTTTCCAGACAAGGAAAAAAACCTGGGATACATGCAAAGAAACAGGAAAGTATGAAGAAGTGAGCCACAGAAACTGCCTATGGTTGTGACCAGGTGACAGATTTGACAAGGAATTCAAAGTTGCTGTTATACATAGGTCCGAAGAACAAAAGGAGACCACAATCAAAGTAGTGGAAGGTATGATGAAAATGTCACATCAAACAGAGAATAACAATAAAGAGAGAACGATTACCAAAAAGAACCGAATCGAAGTTCTGGAGTTGACAAGTGCAATACTGAAGTAAAAAAAATTCACTCAAGGAGATCGACGGTAGTTGAACTGCCAAAGATTTAGCCATCTTGAAGAAAGACAGTCAGAGGCTGCAGAATCTGAAGAAAGAGAGGAAAACAAGTGCGGAAAATAAACGGAGCTGCAGAGAAATATGGGACACTCTTAAGAACACCCACCGAGATGCAGGAGAGTGCCAGAACGCAGACGGAAAGGGGCAGAAAAAACATTCAAAAGGATACTGCCTGAAAGAAGCTAAAGGAACCCCAGGCGGGATAAACGAGAAGCGAGTCAGACACACCACAGTAAAAAATGCTGAAAGCCACAGGCAAGGAGAAACTCTTGAAAACAAGAGAAAAGGACCCTTCACTTATGGGGGAAAGCCAATCAGATAAACAGCAGATTTCTCAGCAGAAAAAACGGGAGGACAGAAGGAGGGGGATAATCATTCAAAATGCTCAGCAACCAACAATCTCACATCCAGTAAACTCTTTTTAAAAATGAAAGCAACATTACCGAATCTGCTCGTTAGTTCTAACCATTGTTTTGGTCTGGTGTGGTCTTTGTCAGAGTCTTCAGGGTTTCCTATGGATAGATAAGAGCATGCCGTGCAAACCTAGGGTGCATGATGGCGAAGTACGATAAAGCAGACACAGAAAGACAAACACTGCATTGTCTCACTTGTATATGCAATCTAAAACAGACTCTTAGAAGCAGAGCACAGAACAATGGTTGCCAGGGATTGGGACAGGGGTGAACCGTGCGTGAGGTGATAGTCAAAGGTCCAAACTTATAATTATGCAAGATAAATACATTCTGGAGTTCTACTGCACACACCGTGCCATTCGCTGAGGATAACCGTGCTGTATACTTAAAATCACTACCAGATGATCTTATGCTAAGTGTTCTTACCACTAATGGTAAGAATATAATCACCACACCCACAAGACAAAGGGGGCGGGAGGAAACCCTGGAAGGTGATGGTTCCATCTATGTCCTAGATGGCAGAGATGGCATATAAGTTGTACACATGAAATACATACAGCTCTACCTATCAGTCATACCTCCATAAAGTGCACCTCTTTGCACCACTAATCACAGGTGTAATTTTTATGTTTCCTTGTATGATGGTTAGATTAACTACTCTCTGATGATCTGGCATAAACTGCACAAAAACAGGGAAGTGTCTTTATTAACTACATCTCCCAGGCACCCAACACAGTGTCCAGATAGTGGCTGGGAACTCGGTGAATCACAGTTAAATGAACAGTCTCTCTCCCTATGCCTGTTACGCACTTGCGCACAAACACACACGGTCACCATTACGCTCCTGCAGATCAGTGAGCAGTGCCTGGGCGGACACCCCGAGCTGGATTAGGATGTGGAGAAGCACCAGCAGTTTTGCTAGATGGTGGCTCTGAGCTTCTGCAAGGTGAAGCAGCATGACTCTCAGCAGGGCTAAAAAGCTTTGAGTCTATGGTAAAGGCAGAGGCCTCGGCGCCTTCACACACTCAGTGTCCCCTTGTTACCGCTGACGGTGGGTCCTCAGAATGCTCATCACCACTTGCAGTGATTCCTTCCCAGACCTCGGGCCAGGATGCCCTCTCCCCACAGTAACGGAGCACACGATTTTCTTAGCAGAAAAGCAAGGCCAGAAAATAGGATGGCTGCGGTTTGTCCCCTCTTGAGGTGTTCTCTCACCTTTTATTCACTTCCATGTTTCTTCTTCGAGTCTCCCAACCCAACCTGCTAATTCCCAACCAATGACTACAACACCTGTGCCTGCGGCTCACTTGCGATGTAGGGATCTGTTGGAGGAGAGCTGGATCTAACTGCTGTGCTGTGTATTTTCTGTTTTCTCTTCTGAATCCGTCAGCTTCCAGACATCAAGGAAAGTACTCCAACTGGCCCTCAAAAGGAGAATGCTTCAGGTGAGGCTGCTGCTCTCACCCACAGCCCAGCGCCGAGCAGTGCTGCCTCCTAAGCACCACACGTCGCCCTGCTGCACCACAGGGGCCAACGGAGAATAAAAGTCTAAGAAATCTTAGTGCAGATACTCATCTCAATGGCGCAACGGTCTCCTCCTCGGGATACGCAAGCTGCTATCTGGTTTGATTTGGTTTTGGCCTGTATCCTCTGGGGTGATTTCACAGCAACTGCAGACTTAGCTAACCTTCCGCCCAAAGCTCTCTGCTTCCCCCACTGCTCCTCTCTACTGAACCAAAGATCTCCTCTCTCCATTAAATGCCCCGACTGGTGTTTCTCCTGGCTAGGATATCAAAGCTGGAGTCTTCATCAAAATGACTTAAAACGTGTAACAGAAACACTGGCTGTGCAATAACAGAGAAGACACGGCACATCGAACAGCGAACAAAACGTTATCTGCCAATTATCTAAGAGTTTCACACTTAGGGAAAATGACTTAATGTGGTGTACTGTCATCCAGGCTTCATTCTATGCATTTTTTTTTAAATTACGAGATTGGAGCGGGGAGGTCATCTACACTCTTTTCTCTGTTGTTTTACTTCCCAACATTATACCATAAACTACTGTCCATCATGATAATGATGGTGACGTCCACATGTACAGGCCTTGATATGAACCAGGTACCCACTTACTGATGTGCCTAGAGTGACTTGCCACCCCACAGTGTTTCACGCACTGAAGAGACATCAGGATCAATCCATACCCAGATGCAGTGTAATCAGATTAAGCTGCTGCACACGTTCACCGGCCTTTTGAGCCGGAGGACACTGGACACTGAGGTGCACTGCAGTTGAGGGGCAAATCCCAAGTCTCTTTATGTTTCTCTCTGACCTGGGTACAACCCCGACTCTGCCCTTGCTGGCTAGGTGGCTTCAGGGAAGTTATTTCCCCTCTTAACCTCTACGTGTCTCGGTTTTCTGGTTTGTAAAAAGGGGATGTTAACATTAAAAATATTTACCTCCCAGTGTTGAAGAGACTTTTAAATGACTTTTAAAATTCTATCTGTAGAGAAAGAGCTAAAAACAATGCCAAGCCTAAAGGAAGCCTCCGGACGTGTGAGCTTCTACTCCTATGTCTCTTTACTTCTTTCTGCTTGTGCCCCTCATCCTTCCCCTCCTCTTTGCCGTGACGTCTCTCCTCCTGCCCCCGCCCCCCGTACACCTTCACCTCACCCTCCGCCTTTCCCTCCCCCCTGCCCCTTTCCTCAGACTCTCCAGAAACACTGTTTACCATCTCCTCATGACGGAGCTCCGAAAATATTAATACATCAGCCTTTGTTAAATCAATAATGAGTATCAGTGGAAGAGAAAAATCCATACAATAAAACTGGACAGGTGAAAACTCCATGAGAAATAAAGTCTTGCCGACGACAATTTGACTAGTAACAGTTTCCTATCTTTCCCAGGTTCACTTGTGACCATCTGATGCAGAAGTGGATTCAATAGAACTAACAGCCAGAAAAGAAGCCACATGATGCGGGTCTCTGGCCTTGAAATTTCACTCTTTGACATGATTATGCAAATTCACAGACTCGTGTTCTGTCCTTATCCAGTGACCACTTACTTTTCCAACCATCGTGTAAGAGGTATGAATGGGTCATTTGTTCTAACTTCCTAGAGAACTTTCCATTCAGGCTTCATAATAACCCATAAGGTTGGCCGAACACTCACTATGGTAAGGAAAAACACGCCCTCCCCTGGGCACCCACCCCCCACCCCCGACTTGACTCTGGAGTCTCTTGAGTTGCTGACGTGAGAGTGCCAAGTCCCTCCGGTGAGTCAGAGGTAGTCTTGACACCACGCGTCTGGAAAACGCTTCAGGGAAATGTGAGAATGACAACAGGAACAGCAGCTAGAACTCGCTGACAGCTCTCCACATGCCAGGCACTGCCCTGACAACTTTCCTTGTCTTAACACAGTCAGTGCTCTAAACGGCCCCAAGAAGCAGCTCCGCTTGGCATTAACAAGTATTTCCATGTTGCTACATGAAACGAGGCTCTCAGATTCTGTTAAGCAGCTTGCTCAGTGTCGCCCAGCTGTGAGGGCTGGAGGCACGGGTCTGAAGGCGTTGTGGAAAACTCACCCCGCTGTGGGTTTGTTCAGTCAGTGGTAAGCTCCAATGGCCAGTGCAAAGTATGCAGAATAACGGCTAACACAGACCACTAACTGGTTGCAGCGCATGGAAGCACACGGTAAACAGAAATGTGAGTGCAACAGCAATCATGCAGACGGAAGCTCGACTGGACTGGATTCTGGAGACTTTCTGGAAACAGTACTCTCAGAGCCTCCTTAGAGAAGGCACCAAAAACCGGTGTCACTTCTGCACCCTCACAAAGGAGAGAGAAGCCTGGCGGCAAGAAAAATAGTACCATCCCCCTGCTCCAGTAGTTCCCAGACAAGCTGTCCACATGAGTCAGAACCCAGGAACTCTTAAAAAAATGCACATGCTGTGATCCACACCCAATGAATCTCACTTAGTGTGGCCACAACGGTGCCCTAGAATCTGTGATTTTTTTTTTAAACTCTGCCTAGGAAACACTCAAGAACTGAATTAAGCCCCTTTGGGAGCAAGCCCGTCTCCAACGTACTGACTTTCTGGACAGATACACACCTGAGAAGACCAGCCTGAAAGCAGGCAAGACGACAGGACATAAAGAACACACGGCGTGAGAGTCAAAACAGGGGTAGGGCAGTGGATTTTCTGAGAAGACACCATGACCCCCTGGCCTTTCTCCCTGAAGGGTTCTATCTCAAAACCATTCTCTTCCAGGCCAGTGGGTGGCGGTGGTGACAGGAGATGACATTTAGCTCCTAGGACAGCACGGGCTTTTCTCAGGGACCACGTAATCCATAGGATGTGAGGTTATGCGATCTATTATCCCCACCTCCTCTCAGCCTTTGGTTCATTCTTGCACCCACACTCCATTCCACGTCAGCCTGGAGCAACCAGAACTTGGGGCCTATGTCTTCCCTTCACCTGCCAGAAACCTTGCCCTGACCTTAGAAGATCGTCTCCCTCTTCTCCTTGCAGCTGTCCGTCTGTGATCTCATCTGCTGTGCCAAACAGGACAGTAGTTTTCAAGCCCTAGCCCAGCCCCTCACCCTGCTGTCCGCACCTGGAAAGGCTTCTCATCAATGAGGAGAACCCCAGGTCCAGAGCTAAGGGCCGTGACTACCACAAAACCATCCTGGGCACTGACATCCCATGGCAGTGGTGACCTCTGAAACAAAGCTTTACCTCACACCCCCGCTGTCCCTGAAACGTTTTCTCATCGCAGGAAGCACACGGAAGAGGAAGGTGCCCAGAATCCTTCCTGGAAGGTACTGTGCCCTACTCCACGCTGCCACGCTATTTCCTCTGACCAAATGCAGACAAGGACCACAACCTTCCTATCTTTTGTCTGTGAATACCAGGCTTTGGGTGGGATGGGGGTACCTGCATAAGACCCTCTTCTTGTGGTTTAAAACCGCATCGTACTTAGTATTTAAACCAAAATACTGGCACATTTTGGAGAGTTCAGAGGGCCATTTTGATTGCTGAAATGATGAAAGGGTGGTACTGGCATTCAGGAAGGCAAAGTTGCAGGGATGCAAATCTGTTTTGCAGAGACTTCAATACACTGGATTTTCCATTAATGTAACTTCCCCGTAAACTGAGGGAAACTGGCACGAGGTTTTACCTGGAAAGGTACCAATAACCCTTGACCGTTTTGGAAAACACATCAGCGAAAGACATTCCTTTCTTGGCTTGGAGTCTGCGACCACATGCCAGTATCACTCGAGAGCTGCAGCGGGACATGGAGGAAACAGGATGAGGGGAACCCAAGTGTACGGACCAGACGGATCTTCTGCAGGATATGCTGGGAAAGGACGGGAAGAATTCAGTGGGAGATGCTCATCCTGTGATCTGCCAGGAGTGGGTGAACAAAACCAGCTTAACGGCTGCCACTTTGTTTCCATGTCTGTCTCCCTCACCAGAGTCTTACCTCCTTCTCGGAAGGCCGGAAACAACACCCCGCTCATCTTGGTGCCCTCGAGCCAGAGGACCTGACACTCAGCAGAAGGCCAGTCCACACTTGTGGAACTGAGGGACTGGGAATGGCTGGACCCCGCGTCATAATGACGAACCCACGACAGAACCATGTCCAGACTGAAGCACGTCAGGCTGTGGAGGGTGGGATGCAAGTGCCACAGGTCTCCATCTTAAGACCCCTGCAGCAGGGTCACAGGAGCCTGCGGTACTCACCTCCATTACATCCCTCAGGGGTCCCCGATTTGACCGGTTAAAACAATTCTCACCAACCACAGAAGTCTAACATAGAAAAAGAGATAACTTACTGCCGAAGTGTCTGTATGAACCTGGTTCTTAGCCGGCCTGAGGCACAAATTCGGGCACAGCACACTCTGGTCGGGAAGCAGAGGCTGACCCGAAAGTCTTCCAGGCTGAGGCAGTGTCGGGCTAGTCAGGGAGCACACACAGGATGTGTAATCGCAGAGGGCACACGGGATACTCCTGAAACAGAGTTTACAACTGTTAGGGAGCCCAGAACTAGACACACACGAACCAGGCGATGCACCTCACCAGGGCCTCGACGTGGCTTCCCACCATGGGGACCTTCCCCTCCAAGACTCCCTGTCCACTTGCTATATTCATCTGAGCCCTTGGTTTCAGAGGGCTGCCTGGAGGCAGTCGGTTCCAAAAGTACGGTCTGCGCACAACACCAGTTCACCCTCTTTCCGAGGGAGGAGGTCACGGGGAAGTGCTGTGCGTGCAAAGCCCGAGAGCTGGGGGAATGCCTGCTGTCCCACACTCAGAGCTCTGGCAGGTGTGGTGGGGAGATGTGGGGGGATCGGCAGCCAGTTTGCATCAAAGTGCTCACAGACACTCGGAAAGACGGCACCGCGAGTATTTTCTTTCTTTCTTTCCTTTTTTTTTTTTTTTTTTTAAAGATTTTATTTATTTGACAGACAGAGATCAGTAGGCAGAGAGGCAGGGAGAGAGAGAGGGGGAAGCAGGATCCCTGCTGAGCAGACAGCCCCATGCGGGGGCTTGATCCCAGGTCCCTGGGATCCTGACCTGAGGGAAAGGCAGAGGCTTTAACCCACTGAGCCACTGAGGTGCCCCACCGCCGAGTATTTCTTTAAAAAGGTTTCCAGGAACAGTTTGGGCAAAAAGAGGACATTAATGTCTTTGCTTCCTCCCTCTGCCTCTCCCCAGGTGCTAGGTTTGGGTTTTCTCCACTGCGACAGATCAGTGTACGATTCTGAAATCGAACCTTTACGTTTCTTTACTCATCCCCTACTCTCCTCCAAACGCTTTGTATGGAGGGTCTGCTCTCAAAAGGGACAAAAGCATTTTCATAGAAAAACCTATTGCATAACCACAAAGACTTGTGATCATTAGGAACCGTCAGGATGAGATCCCGAATTTTCAACATTTTCAGAATGGGTTTACATCACCTCCTGCCCCCTTTGTCTCTCTCATTCACACAGTGACCAGGCTAGACTAGGTCGTTCCCTTCCTTGCTGGGCGCAGCTGCTTTGAATAGCGGCCCCGCCTCACATCTTGAATCAATTTTCTCAATACATCCAGACGCTACAACGATCGAACGAAGCCATTTTGAAATCCTCCCTTTTCCCCTCTCATTGAAAGCTTATGCAAAAGGCTAGCAGTAAACTGACACTTACCGGGTGGCCACACAGGGGCCAGAGGCCTTTCTGGTTGGAATGCTGGGAGAGGCAGTCACAGCAGCAGGAAGCAAGGTGAAGAAAAGGCTGGAGTGCCTTCCCGCGTCTCTGCCTCTAGTTTATGGAAAGCTTTTTCTGGCTCAGGGAACTAATTAGTTTCCTCCCACTTGGGAGGAGAGAGCAAGTTAAACCTGCAACATTTTTGGCTGACCCAAAGCTCACCTTTGGGAAGGCTTGTATCCTTTCCCCTGGCCCTGAGAAAATAAAGCGCTAAGTCACAAGGTGGCTACAGGAGTTCAGCCGCGGTTCCGTACCATGGGTACATCCACAGTCACCGGGGCACAAAAGGTTCATCATCTCTACCACATCACCCTTCCCTTACTCAAAGAAGTCTTTCACCATATTTTAGTTGAGTCAGGGTCTTCTCGCTAGTGAGTCCCCCCGCTACCACCGCTCTTTCCGATGTCCCAAGACCACCCTTCCTTTTGGGGAATCCCCAGGAGGACCCAAAGGACTCAGCACACACAGTCATTCATCTTCAGGGCTAAGATTTATTACAGCAGAAGGATACAAAGCAAAATTACCCAAGTAACATCTGGAGGAAACCAGTGCAAGCTTCCAAGAGTCCTTTCCCAGTAGAGTCATGCTGTCTGTGCCTCCACCAACAAATCATGACGTCGCACACGAAATCTTGTCTACATGGAAGCTCATGCATGACTAACACCGTGTCGGGAGGTTTGTTTTGGGGGCTGGTCACGTAAGTACTCTCCGCATAGCACGTACCAAGATTTCAGATTTCCAGAGGGAAAGCAGGTGTTCAGCATGAAACGTATTGCTTGGACAGTTTAGGAAGAGTAAAGCATCCTGCTTGGGTAGGGAATGGTGGGAAGCCTTCCGACACTCAAGTTCCCAGATGCAAGGTAAGGGCCAACATGCTGATCTCTGCAAGGACAGTGGTGGTCTCAGGCCTGCTCTGTTAACTCTTCTCTGTATAACACTCAACAACAAAGCTTCAAGATACATAACCAGGTCAGAGAGAACGGGAGGATAAATGAACAAACCTACAAATGATAGCTGTAGAGTTCAACACTCACTCAGTAGTATCAGAAGGAACGGAAGAAAATCAGCACTATGTAGATGAACCGAACAACACTGTGAACTACCTGGATGTAAGTGACAAGTACGGAACCCTTCCCATAGCAGCGGCAGAATACACATTTTTTTCAAGGGCACAGGGAGTTTCACCAAGGTACTCTGCATCCTGGGTCATTAAAGAAATATTACAAATTATAAAACAGTTGAAATTATACAGAGAATGTGGTCTGAGCAGAAGAGAGAAACTTCCAATATGTAAGAAAGAGTGAAGAGGAAAATCTCCCAATACAAGGAAATTACACCACATGCTTCGAAATAATCCATGGTCCAAAGGGCAAGTCTCAAGGGAAATTAGGAAATATTCTGGATACTAACCCTTCACTAGATGAACTGAAAGGAAAGGAAAATACAACATATCCAAATTGCAGGATGCAGCTACCCCAGCGCTTAGCAGGAAAGGTACAGCATCAAATGTTTGTATTACAAAGAATCAAGGGTCCAAATCAATAATGAAAGCTTCCCCCTTAAGAACTAGAGAAAGAAAATAAAAAGAAACTCAAAGTAAATAAATAAGGGAAAGAGACATTACAGCAGATATCAGGCAAAGAACAGTGGGTGAAACCAAAAGCTGGTTCTTTGAAAAGGTCAATAAAATCCCTAAGTTTCTATCCACACCAAGGCAGAAAGAAAGATAAGGAAAGATGCAACTTAAGACTATGAGGAAAGAAACAGGTTACAGACTCCACAGAAACTGAAAGGATTCTAAGAAATAACTCTGTGCATCTACATTTGGTAACTTAGATCAAACAAACAATTGCTTGAAAGGCACAAACTATTAAAAGTCAACGAAAAACAAGCAAACCAACCAACCAACCAACAACGACAACAACAACAAAAACCCAACCCAACCAGACAATCTGAAAAACAAACATAAATTTAAAATTTTTATCTTTTAAAAACTTTCAGGAAAGAAATCTCCAGGCCCTGCTGGTTTCTCTGGAAAATCCCACCACACATTTAAGAAGAAATAACAGTAATTCTATGCAACCCCTTCAAATAGAGGAGAGGGAACATTTCTTGAATCATTTGATCAGATCAGCATTACCCCGATGCCAAAATCAAAGACAGTACTAGCAAAACAAATTCAATAGTATACAAAAACAGTAACACAACATGATCCAGTTGGGTTTATCCTGGAAATGCAAAGGCAGTGCAGTATTCAAAAACTCAACGAACAGGGGTGCCTGGGTGGTTCAGTTGGTGAAGCGTCCCAGAGCTTTAGCTTTAACTCCTGGTTTTGGCTCAGGTCAGGATCTCAGGGTACTGAGATGGATGGAGCCTTGCCTTGGCTCTATGCTCAGCAGGGAGTCTGCTTGTCCCTATCCCTCTGCTCCTCCCCCCGACTCCCTCTCACTCTCGCTCTTTATAAATAAGTAAATAAATCTTCTAAAAAGTCAAATAATAAATTCATTAGCGTATCAAAAAAAAAAAAAGAAAAAGAAAAAGAACCACACGATCCTATCAATTCATTCAGAGAAAGCATTTGACAAAACTCAACAGCCATTCATGATAAAAGCATTCAGCAAACCAGGAACAGAAGTGAGTTTTCTTAACCTGGATATAAAGTATCTTAGAAAAATACCTACACCGTCCATTCTACTTAATGGAGAAAATCTACATACTTTCTCCCAAAGACCAGGAATGAGGCTAGCAATATTTGCTGGAAGTCCTAGCCATTCCACAAAGGAAAGAAAAAAAGAAAGATCAGAAAGGAGGAAATAAATCTATTTCAATTCACAGATGACATGATTATGTACATAGATAATCCCATGAAATAAAACAACAACAACAACCACCTCCTAGAACTAACAAGTGCAGTCAACGTTGCCGCAGCATACAAGCTCAACGCAAAAAGTCAAGCGAATTTCCACATGCTAGCAACGAACAATTACCTAACCAAACAAAAAGCAGACATCACTGGCACATACCATTTACGACAGCCTCCCTTCTCAAACCTAGCGAAACGTACACAGGATCCGTGTGCCCTAAACCACAAAAAGCTGAGGAAAGAAGTATAGGAAGACCTGAATAAATGGAGACACGTACTGTGTTCAGGGGCTGATAAAGTCAGTATAATTTAGATGTCAATAGGTCCCAAAGGGATCCCTCATTTATTTACTTTTTAAAGATTATTTATTTATTTATTTGACACACACAGAGAGAGAGAGAGAGAGATCACAAGTAGGCAAAGAGGCAGGCAGAGAGGGAGGGGGAAACAGGCTCCCTGCCGAGCAGAACGCCTGAGTAGGGCTCGATCCCAGAACCCTGAGACCATGACCTGAGTTGAAGGCAGAGGCTTAACGCGCTGAGCCACCCAGGTGCCCCGGGATCCCCCATTTAAATACAATTCCAACCAAAACTCCCGGTAGGACTTTTAGGAAATATACACTGATTATGCAGTTTAGGTGGAAAGACAAAGGAGCTAGAACAGTCAAATAATTTTGAAGAAGAAATAAATCACTGGAGGAGTAACACCAATTTTATGACTTTCTATGCAGCAACAGCCAAGATATGGAAACATCTGTGTCCACGGAGGGATCCATGGATCCTGAAAATGTGCTATAGATACACGACAGAATATTATT